AGCAGAACGAAATTGGCAGCCTGTGTCCTTTGTTAGGAATGCCTGTATCCTAGGTTCGAAATAGTCGAATACGAACTGAAAACTTCAGATATCGCCGAGGCCCTCGGTGTAAGCGTCAGTACCATTAAAAGGCGACTGCGATAATTCAATATTTCAATTCGAGGAACTCTGAATGAAATATCCGATGATGATCTTGATTCTGTTTTGCGAAGTTTTCATACAGAGTTCCCAAATGCTGGGTACAGAAGAGTGCTGTTCCAGCTTAACTTACGCGGCATTAAGGTGCCACAGAGGAGAGTTCGCGAGTCAGTGCAATAAAAGGGGGTGGTAGGCCTACACGACTTTTACCTCATGCCAAAATGCTGTTTTTTTCAATAAAGTTGTCTTTATCTGCTTGGTAGATTATGCTCTGGAAGGTTCTACATTTACACTGAGCAAATGTGATTTTAGCCGCATGTTTCACACTGACAGGTCATGACATACATATCGATTTACTGTAGTTCTTGTTTCTGGTCGGCAGGATTTGCCCTGTGATGCAAGCGCATTTTCTTTGACCTCTTTTGAAGCGTAAAGCTTTTTAAATAATACGGCTGAATAAGGGTTCCAATTTTCTCCAAAGTGCCTTCCGGATCTGAATAGCTATGCGATTTTCTTTAGTCCGTGAGTGTAATGTTTTTCTGCAACGCTGTATCACGCTCGGCCCGCGCGTCAGTTTTCTTTGCAGAATGTTTAATTATCACGGATAGTGATTTACAGATCCAAAATTATAAGAATGAAGTGCAGCTTAAACTGAAGCTACATCAACTTTACTTTGGAGAATTGAATTGTGACTCAGTAAACTCCAGCTTAGTGTTTTTCTAAAGATAGTGGGAATCTTTTGACTGGAGCGCGTAGTTCCTCCCTTGATAATTGCTTTGAATAAGCTTAACATTCTTTAAACTGTTTTGTTATTGCCATTTTGTGATCAGGCAGGACCATGGTTTCGGTTCTCCACACGAACCTCGTCAGTTGCCGGGTTGGCTTTGTGCTTAGTTGCTTTTACAAGAGCAACGTTAGTTGTACTTTGTTTTGGCGAGAACGGTACAGCCTTTCTGTCTATTGAGCTTGATAAAGAACGACGGAAAGAAAGAAACGATCGATAAAGAAAAACCCAACCAAGTTTCCAGAGATTTGCCTGCGTGCAGACGTTTCCAATACAACCAGAGATGTGACAAATTGTGTGACATGTGGGCCTCAGGACATCATGGGAAAGTTGATATCACGTGACATTTCAAGACTGGCACGCCTGGTTGATTTTTTGCAGAAAATTTGCGTGGTAAGTTAATTCGCAGAAAATTTGCGGTAAGACATGAATTTCAATAGTAATTCGATGCTGGTATTTTTTATCGCTTGCGGGTGTCTTACGTTGATGTATTAGAAACAGGGCTTTATAAAGAATGTTTATGGTAAGAGTTTTGATATTTCGGAAATAATCTTGCGTGTAAAGTCATTCTTATGTTAGGAAAATAGCCTGTGTATGTTAATGTCTCAAGCCAAGAACCGTGCAGAAAGAAGTACGTTTTCGCAGAAAAACTGAATTGGCAATTAACCACGTAACAAGAGTTGCAATTGGAAAGTAATGGTAAAGGAAAACACTTGTACGCCATGGAACGTGCAGGAAGAAGCAAGTGTTCGCAAAAATGTCAAAAGAAACTACATTAACAATTAATCATGCCACAAGAGTTGCAATTCGAAAGTCATCTTAAAAAAAAGTTTGCATTGTTAATTTTGACCCTAATAACGCGCCATATCAATCAAATCGTACTTTTTTAATGGTTTCCTCTCTGATTTTGTTGAGATCAATTCGTGTGTATATACTAAAACAATTATTCTTTTCAATCTCGGTGAATAGTGGCTTTGGGAATATTTACATCATTAAATGACCCCAAAAACACCGAATAGTACTATCAATAAGAAAAACTTTGACAAAAAATTGTCACTGCAATGGTACAGCAGGCGGGCCAAGAACTCGCTTGATGCGTTTGTAGCTCCGTGCTACAGTAGAAACAGAGCATTTCGAGGTATTTGGTGACTTATTCAGCGCGTTTAATGTAATATTAAAGTGCCCCCCATGAAAAACGGCTCCACTAAATGCGCCTGAAGCAGGAATGTTTGGTGGGGCTGAAATGTCACTCAAAATCAACGACATATTTTTCTGCTGCTCTTTTGACAAAGTACTGTAATTTTTAACACACTGCAAATTTCGGTGACCAGAGAGCTGCATGATGTGTGTTGGAGGAACATTGTTATCGTTCACGGTTTTTGCATCATTCGATTTCGCACGCTATGGTTGGTTAGTCGTCGCTCGCAGCCAGCTTTTCCTGCCATTGTTTTCATTAACGAGGTAAGTTTATTGACCCCCATCGGACTCCCCTTGAACCAGCATTTACTGGAGTCTCTGCTGTGATTTATGCCGAGGTAGTAAGGTGCTTCGACGGTCTGCATAGAGCTAGGTCTTTTCTCAGAGTAGAATTTGTGGACAAAAACTGGGTCTTTTTCGGGTAGGCCGTCCGGCCTAGCGAAAGCTTTAGGTTTAACTGGTCTAATGTTCCGAGGCTCTTCACGACTTCTTATTTTGGTTTGACGCTCACAGTATTCTAAATATTCGGTCCCGTCGGCATCCCTCAGAAGTTTCACCTCTGTCCAGCACATTTGACGTTGCTCATCACAGCCTCTCAATCCAAATGGATTGAATTCATCAACCAGTCTGTGTTGATTAAAGCCTCGGCACTCGAGACTCCCAGTAGTTTACTCTCGTAATGAACGCTTACTTCGTCATCGCTGACAGCCTCGGCTGCAAATGTTCTGTTTCCCCTGCCTTCTTTCTTCAGGACTTTGCAACGAGCATCCAGCACCTTCCTTGTTTGCTCAAACTCACGATCTTCGGCGATGCTTTTTGAATACTTCACGTTCTTCAAGTGACGATTGAAGCTTGCTTGAGGCTTGACGGTTCATAATCGCCCCCATCTTTCCTTTCACAGTAACTATAAACTCACTCAGAAAATCATTGATTTGAATCTTGTGGTTGTATCTCTTCCATTTTTCTGTTTTCTTGCTGGGGTTTCAGAAACTCGGAGAGCAAGCCAACATCTCGTCTAGTTTTCGACAACGTTTGTTTGTTTTTTTGTTCCTCGATAAATAGGTTAACGGATTTCTGCAAAGCTGGAAAGCGAAGGCTTTCTCCTTCAGCCATTATTTAGCTTCTTCTGGCAATTTTCATGAGATATTATCCAAACCAAAAATCTAAACGTTTTAACTTTTTGACAAAGCTGCCAACATTTAAAAGGACACCAATGTTTATTCACGAAGACGTATTGAGAATGAAATGTCTCTGAAAATCCTCAGTCATGAATAAAACCTTGTAGCTTTTCGCCGTGTTTGCTCTTTTTTTACAACCAATAGGTCGAAATATTCTAAATATTCTTCAGAACGTTTTCTTTCTATTCGCGGTCAGAAAATGTCTAATGAGTTTTTAAATTCTCTACTAGGTCAGATCATTGTCTCAAATCTTACAAGTGTGCTTAAAGTGACGGCATCACACGACGCTCAGAATCAAAACAGCCTACTGGAAACCAAATTATATGGATTTGTATGGAAATTTAACTTAAGATCGATAAAACGGTTAAAGGGTACTCAAAGGGTATCGGTGAGTCGAAATCCTCCAGTTGCTAGGCTTTCTATCAACTGTTTGACGAGAACTATGGCTTCATCTGAGTTCGATTTCGACGTCAATAGGTCATCCGTGTAAAAACTTCTCTTCAGTGCGTTTATCCCATCGTCGCTGAATTTCCTTGCTGGTCAAGAGCAGTTCTTTGTGAGGCAGAGCTTGCGCAACTCGACAGAGCAAAAGACATGAACTGTCATATGATAATCGTCTGGTTACTTTGTTTCATGTAAATCTCTCCAGAAGAAGCGCAGCCAGTCTCTATCTTCTTCAGAAACATAAACCTGATGGAACATTTGTTTAATGTCCGCCATGACATAATCTTTTCCCTACGACATCTCATGAGGATTCCTACCAAATTGTTCAACAGGTTTGGACCTGTCAAAAGCTCGCTGTTTAATGAAACCCCATGAAACTTTGCCGCAGCGTCAAATACCACACGGACTTTTCCAGGTTTGTTGGGGTTCAGCATTGCGAGATGTGTCAGGTACCACGTTTTTGAGGATGTTACTTTAGCCTCTTCGGGTGGAATTCTTTTCGCGTGTCCCTTATTTACGTAATTAGTTTCCTCTCGGTTGAGTGAAGCCTTGAACCTGCCATAGTGCGGTTGTTTGGCAGGACTGGCTCACATTTCTATAGCAATGGTGTTTTATAGTGGCCTCGCTTTTTAATTGTGCTGCTCTGTAAGATAGCAAGGGCTCTTTGCTCTTCAACAGACAAAGAGGCTTCGGAGGGTGCTTGCTTCGTTCCGTAAGAGTCATCCTCCCAAAATCGTTCAATTTGTTAGTCCAACGGGAGCCCTTCGTTTGTTGAAAGAAAGTTTGCATTGATTACTTCACACGGTCCTTTGTTTGCATTACCAAAGAGGTTCCATCCAAGGGGGCGTTTGATGGTGATGGGCTCGTCCACTCGTCCCTGGCGGACTTCAATGTGAATCAGCAGGTGAGCCACATCAGATCCAATAAGAAGCATTACTTCGGAATCGTCAAGTTCAGGTAGATTAATACCCAACAAATGACTCCCCTGTTCGACGGCTGCCTTCTTCGGCACTTTGACGGGCGGGATATTTAGCTTGTCAATGACCCATGCTCCGTTCACTATTACAGGTTCTGGGTGATCTTTAGATGAGAGACCAAAGCTCAGTCTGTTCAGATGCTGTCTTTCCATCACTGCCAACCGTATTCAGGCTCAGGCCAAGTTGGTAGGATTCACCGACAAGTTGCAGGTGGTCTGCTCAGTCCTTTCTAATAAGGGTCGAGTCACTCCCAGGATCAAGAACAGCTTACGCAGTGACTAATCATCCTTGGCTATGGATCTGAACCGGCAGGACTTGAAGGAGGACCTTTCGTCGTGGCTGAGCACAAACTTGGTTGACGTTGACCTTGGCAATAGGTAACGGACTTGGGATAGGCTTGGAACGTCGGACACTTTCTTGTGGAGGAACAGATGTCCCAGACAGGCCACTCTGGGTGTTTGTCCAATTGTTAGGACTTGAGTCTGCTTGGTGACTTTCATGTAACAGTGGGTGATGCGGAAGACCACAGTGTTCCTTAAAACATCGTTTTCACTCGGACAACACTTCGCCTCATAATTTCCCTTTAAGCAATTGAAACAGGGTTTATGCTCCCATGCAAGTTTTCGCGTTTCTTGAAGTTTACGCAACAGGATGCTTTCTTTAGCAAACAACGTACTTCTTTTCATTTGACTGGACGTTCCTTTCTGCTTAATTGTTTTGAAAGTTGGCTTGACCTTGATTTGAGCCGTGGAAATGATTGCTGTCTCTTTGCACTCTTGGGGAGAACGCCGTTGTCATAGCCAGGGGATGCAGCTGAGAATTTAGGTTTGGATCGGTGATAGCATTGCTTTCCATTGGAACTTCGCAGGGGGGCTCTGCTCCCGTGGCAAGGGGATGCAGCCTGATGCTTGGCTTTGGTTTGGTAGGTCTTTGCTTCTTGTTCCATTCCTCGCATATATACTCCTTCAGGCGATTAGACAATGTGTCTACTCGATTACCCAACCATTTCTCAAATTCCACCAGGTTGGACCTGTCTCTGTGTACTCAGGGGTTTGGAATTTAGCAGACTGACCCATCTTTACCCACCACGTCGTAGATGCTTTCACTTGGTAATAGTAGTCACGCAAGGCTTGTCTGTCATTCGAAGGCTCAAAGGTACTGTCCAACATGTTGTTCAAGTAAGCCGTGGCAACACTGTTAGGGTTTCCAAATTGGCGTTTCAGTGTCTTAAGGGCGGCTGCGTAGCTATGACCTGTGACACCTAGACTCTCAACTGCCTTCTTGGCTTCACCATCGAGGTTTTGAAATAGATAGGCCATCCTATCTGAATCAGTGGGAGTTGTCTTGTTGCGTATTTGGTCACGAAACCTCGCAATGAAGAGCTCAGGTGGTGGTAATCGCTGTTATTCTTGTGCTCGCAGGAGGGCTACACTTGAGTCTGTTTGCAAGTTATCAAACTCAACTGGAAGACAGTTTCCTGACCTTCTCTGAGATTATCAATAAGTGAATCTACTGGTTCTTGAACTTGAGCCGAGTGATGCTTTCTTGTAAAGTCAAGGTCACTCGGGAAAGGAGTGGATGCCTTTCGGGTACAGGGGGCCTATTGTGTCATGAAGGATGGACGAGAATAATAAATAGAAGACGCACATTTTGGTTCACAGGAAGCCCAGGTTAGGTTGTCGTTACAGCTAGTGCTGTAGGCAAACGGCAGAGGAATACGTGATACCCCTACTAGGGGGTGAGTACCATGATGAAATTCTGTACCAAAGTAAGCGGAAGATGCACTACCATTAAAAGATGGCCCATGTTTATGGCGCGTCACAGTCACATGACCATTTGAAGAGAATTCATCATAGCTAGTGTTGCTTGAAATGAACATTTCTTTCCAGGATGAAGCAGGCTTTGATCAGGTAGGTTTACAGTAGTACTGGAGGGTAACACATCTGTTTCACTTCCTTTGGCAATCGGTTCCTGACTTGTACCCAAGTTGGGGACATTACTGTTAGCAGTATGGAATTGTAAGTTCTTTAATGGCAAGGACTTGGAAGTTGTACTCAGTGGAGTATTTTCATATGAGATGGCAGTTTCTATGTCATAGCTTAGGAATGATTCTGGGTAAACAACTGGTTTACTTTCTTGGGAAACATATTCCATTGACATTCCGGGTTCATCTTCAATATATGGACTTGAATAAACACCTTTACTTTCAAATTCACTAACTGCGTGGGGACTGGGAACTAAATAATGTTTCAAAGGTGGTGAGGTTTTACTGAACTTACTCATTCACTCTCTGTTCTCTTGTCTTTCGATAAGGACTTGTCCAAGTATTTTATTCTCAAGTTCTGCTTTCTCCGCTTGTTCTTGTGCAGATATTATGGCCAGATCGTCCTCTCTTTGTTTGCGTAACTGTTCGAGTTCCTGTCTTCGACGTTCCAAACTTAACTCTAACTCCCTTTGGGCCATTTTGTCTTTGAATTCTTGTTTGCGGCTTCATTTTCCCTCCTTATCCGTTCCTTCAACTGTCTAGCTTCGAGGCTTGCAGTTGCAACTTTGATTTGGGCGTCTGTTCTTCTCCTTGAGAAAGATAAGGAACTTGGTGACGAATTTGATCCGGTTTGGCTCACCGAATCGTCATGTCGTATTGCGCTGTTGTGAAGCGGCGATATTACTTGCGGTTCACCCACGGAATGGAACCCTTCCATGATTTAGCTTAGTCGCTAAACAGTTTGGAGCCGGCACGAATAGGACCCCTTTGGATAATCCATGATCCAATAAACGGTTAAAAAACTCATAACGCAAAAAGAAGGTTTTTACATTCACATCATCACATGGTCCGAGTCACACTCTAACTATCTAACTATCTATCATGGTAATTTTACACGCCACTACGAGTGGAATGGCCAGCTGCCGCTCCAACGTTAATTCACGGAACAATTCAGAATTACACTCATCAACAAAGATGAGCGTGGGGAGTTGCCTAAAAAGTTGGTGGAGCCAGGGGCCATAGCTGATAGGAATGCGTAACCATGACAACGCTGCGAGTGGCAACCTCCCGGACACCATCACACTGTTAACCAGTGGAACCTAGAATACTTTCCATATATTTACCAAACGGAGGGCAGGGAAAGGAACAAAACAGGCTAACGAGCACAAGCAACGAGAAGCAACGCGAACGAAATGGGCTGACCTCAGTGGAAACCGCATAAGTGAGTTCAGTGGCGGCAAGAACAAGATTCAAGTCTTCGTTTGATAAATGCTAGGCCTGAATCATCTTCGTTGCCGGCCAACAACAGTCATGGCAGAAATGGCTGCAACGTAAAGCATAGTACTTCCGAGAGAAAGGACGAGTTGGTTCCTCTAACCTAGAAAGAAATTGAGAATCTAACCATCTCAGCACTGAAAGATGAACTTGCTAAAAAAATCTATCAAAAAAGGGAAACAAACAAACTCTGATCTCCCGATTGACGTCCTTTTTTTTTTTAAAGTACCCGCCAGAGAACTAGTGCAGTCTCTGACCAAACTGATACTTCGCTACTGTGTACGGCACGAGACGAAACCAACAACTTAGAGAACTACCCATGCTTACCCCTTCTATTAGATTTACAGAATGAAGTGAAAGAGATCAAGGCTAATTCGTCGCGGCAAATTTTACCTAACCTGACTTCTAATTGTGAGCTGACAAAGCTTCAAGATGAGAACAACGCCTTAAAACAGAGACTTCGCGACGTGGAAGACCGCTACGACTCTTTAAAGCGTGAGGCAAAATCTATTCGAAGATGAAAATAAAAGTTTAATGACTGCTCTAAAACTTTTAAACAACGAAATTAACGGCAAAGAAAGTAAACATCGAGATGGTAGATATGAAAATATCAAGGAGCAAAATTTGCATGATGAGGAAACCCCTTGGGTGACAGTACGTGATAACAAGACAATGCTCAGAAACAAAAAGAAAGAGCGTCAATTACCAGTTGGAAGAAAGATGCCAGCCCGTAATTCTACTGACATCGCGCCTCAAACAATAAATAACGAGCGGACCAAGTCGTCGTTGGTGACTCCATGATAAAGAACGTTCAAGGAATAAAACAAGCCAAGACTGTGGGACATCGGGTTGTTGTCAAGCCGTTCCCCGGAGCCACAATTCGCGACATGTGTTCCCACGTTGTTCCTACAATTGATAAGTCTCCTGGTCAAATTTGTCTACATGTGGGTACCAACGATCTGAAATCATCTACACAAAGTGATGTGGCAGATGCTATTATAGACTTGGCCAGAGAGGTTGAGAATGCTTCCGAGTCGAAATAATTATATCTGAACTAACTGCAAAGAATGATGATTACTGCGACGCCGTCAAAGTGGTAAACAAACGTCTAAAACAATTTTGTAACCAAAATAGCTGGGAACTATGCCATGTTAACATTAGTTCAAAAGGACTTAACAAAGGTGGACTGCGCCTAAACAGGGAAGGTAACGAGCTTTTGCAAAAGAACTTTGTAAATTTTCTGAGATCTAATTGATTTCCTAATTCCATGAATGTCGATTATCCTCTAGTTTCTCCAACGTTGCCAGAATTAGTAGACAGCGAAGTTCATTCAGGTAGTTCGGGACCTTCCAATATGTCTAATTTTTTACCAGCTAAACGTGGTTTCAAAATGGCCTAATTGAACATTAACAGCCTCGTCAAACATGTTGACGAACTTAGAGTCTTTCTTGCTGAGTTTTCATTTGATATTCTGGCAATTAATGAAACCAAAGTTGACTAATCCATAAAAAAGTTCCGAACTCCATATACCAGGCTATGAATTTATCCGTCGTGACAGAAATAGACCTATTGAAATTCGTAAACCGAACTGTAAGTTATTTCTAGTAGCAACATGGTTCAGACCTCCCTGTTCTCCAGCCGATTTATTTTCGAGTTACAAGTCATTTATAGGCAAATTAGATTCTCTCGACCTAGAGTACCATTTGTTAGGTGACTTAAACTGTAACTTGGCCTCTCCTACACCTGATGCAAACACTCATAGTTTAAACCGTTGTTTAAACAGGGCGAGGCATTTCATTTAAACAACTACCGACCTATCTCAGTCATTTCCGTAGTCGCCAAAGTGTTCGAGAGGATTGTGTACGATCAGTTATACAACTTCTTAAGTAGTGAAGAAATCATCTCTAAACTACAATCTGGTTTCTGGTCTCTACACTCAACTGTTACTGCACTTCTAGAAGCCACTGACAGTTGGGCGTTTAATATCGATCGTGGCTACGTCAATGCCGTAGTGTTTCTCGACTTAAAAAAGGCATTCAACACTGTTGATCATGAGATATTACTAAGTAAAATGAATCGGTGTGGAATTCAAAGTAAAACTCTTGATTGGCTTAAATCGTATTTGACGAATCGCACACAACGGTGCTCAGTTAACGGTTGTCTTTCTGACTTCACCACTCTTAAATGTGGTGTGCCACAGGGAACGATCGTTGGCCCGCTTCTATTTCTAATATATATTAACGATTTGCCTGACTGTCTTTCGTTCAGCATACCTAGAATGTGTGCTGATGACACCCACATTACTTATGCTAGTTCTGATTTGCATTTGATTCTGTCTAGTCTATCTCACGACCTTAAAAGCTAAGCAAGTGGCTTGTGTCTAACAGACTTGCCTTGAATGCTACAAAAACTGAATTTATGTTAATCGGCTCCAGGCAAAGATTAAGTACTCTATCTGATACACTCGAACTTTCCATTAAGAATGCTCCGATTGAACAAGTTCCCTCTGTGAAATCACTTGGAATATATATCGATGAAAATTTAAGGTGGCATTCCCACATTGATAAACTGTGTTAAAAGATCGCTTCTGCAATTGGAGCCGTAAAGCGAGTTAAGCCATTTGTGCCTCAATCCACCCTACTCGATATATACAACTCACTAGCTCAACCTCACTTTGATTACTGCAGCCTAGTCTGGGGTAATTGTGGCAAAACATTATCTAACAAGCTACAAAACCGCAAAACCATGCTGCACGAGTAATAACTTCATCAAACTTTGACGTAGATGTCGATTCCTTGTTTCACAAACTCAGCTGGAAAGACTTGAAATCTCAACGTCAAATTCAGAACGCCTTAATGGTTTGGTCCCCTTTCCAAGAACTAACGACATGAAAAATAGTTTTAGTTACAGCGGCGCAACCCTTTGGAACAGCTTGCCCTGTAACATTAGAGAGTCTGGTTCATTAAATCAATTTAAACGCCTTCTCTATCATAATTTTTAAACACGACATTCATGGAAATCAGGTCTTTGTAAGTAAATACAATGTTAAGATTAGGATTTTTAGGTTTAGGATGTTAGTCATTGTATTAGAATTTCTTATACCTGATGTATTTTGTTACCGTGTATAAATAACGATTAAAGGGAGAAAGAAAGAAAAGCTACAAAACCCAAAGTGCCCTGTGTCGCGTTTCCAATGTAGCTGACACGGGCTTTTGTGCACTGGAGCTCGGAAAGTGTCAACCACAGTATAGAAATGAACAGCACAAGTGGACTCAACAGCATTTAATTTGATCATCAACTCGTCTGAATATTGTACACATGCTGTGAAAACTAAAAGGGTTAATTACAATGTCCAAGATCAAAAAAGGGGCTAAGACTAATTACAAAAGAAACAAAATTGAAAGGAAGGCTGTAACTTACGTCTGATCCTGTCTGAAAGGGCTAAAGAACCTCCAATTTTACGCAACTCCATAAAAGTAAAACTCCTGTGAAAACTCAGATCTATCTCCGTCGATCTCCTCTAACTCCAACTCTGCAAAAACGTAAGGGGCGTACTGTAATAAGGGTACAATTCACCTGTACAGTTGTAAACTGGTCTAAAGCAAGAATGGCTAAGAATCTTGGACAAAATAAAATGGACAGCAAACCCCCATTCCCCCCCAAATCAAGGATGAAGGCGCGCGAAGGGCAAAAACGCGCCATTTTCCCATCCTTAATTTGAGGGGGGAGGGGGGGTCTAGGTTTTCCATTTATTTTGTCCAAGATTGTCTCGAAAGTGTCTAAGTCACGAAATAGTGGTCACTGTTAATTAGAGAGTCATCTTTCAACATATTTATCGGTTGCAAACACTGGTCTGTGACCCGCAGTCACAAGTGTCACCGAGGACGTCCATACTTACTATACCCTAAGAGAACATTTTTGCACATCGTGTCTGGAACATTAGAAAAAGGCGCTCTTGAACATGGCATTACTCGCAAATCATATAAAGAGTTCTGTAACAGGGTAAAAAGGACCTTTAATGTTATTTCTCAGGAGTCACTAGACTGTGGACTTTTTATACCTCGCTGAAATACCAACAACGATGAAATGAAAGGCTAAAATTTTACTAATTAAAACTTTTAAACTGTGTGTAGCGCACTCGAACTTTGTTAAAATGACACGGTCGACGTTTCACTGACGGTTTACAAAAGGTTTTTGTCTGATTTAAGATGGTTTGGAGCGGTTTTCAACGGTTAATCACGATTAACAGCCAATTGAAATAAAAGTGACTCACCCTCTCTTACTTTACTGTACCACGACAAAATCGTGAAAAACGGATAAAAACCGTCGGTAATCTGTTGTAAATCGTGCTAATCCTTATGTTTGTCAACATTAATTGTGTTCGATCTACTAGAATGAAAAAACCAATCTATATAGATAAAATATCGCTAACAATGATCTATAAAGGCACCCGTACAGTTCTTAAAAATAGCGCAAAAGCAACAGCCTCTCCATGGATTGCCTAGAGGTCTAGCGTGCAACATCGGCGAGTAGGAGTAGCCTACCCGAGGTTTTTTGGGCAGGTTCGAGTCTCGTTTGTAGCCAAAATAATTTTTTTTTCTTACTATAATTATTCCTGCAATTACCAGCCGATGAAATTTCTATATATGTTTTGTAGGGTTCTGCCTTCAAGCTTATTAAAATTATTGCAATGAATCAGGCATAAGTATGTCTTTTTTTCGTTTTCCACGCAGCAGAACTCTCTCCTAGTGAGTAATGCATCCCGCACTTCATACAGACTTACGATAAGTGAATTATTTATTTATTTTATATAAATGAAATAAGCGCAATTCTTCTGTTTTGTATGAGTTCACTGACAAATGACCAGGTTTGCTTTGAAAGCATTTAGCTTTGAAGCGTTTGAACGCAGATTTCTTGTCATGATTGCTATCATGACGCTGTGAGTAACGCCAGTCGAGGCTTTCAGACAATCTTGGACAAAATAAAATGGAACAGCAAACTCCCATCCCCCCCAAATCAAGGATTTGATTGAATGTTCATTACACCCTGCGAAGCTATTAGGCCACCCCCAAAAATCACGAGTGAGAAACTGCTGGCCAGAAGTGTCTCGAGTTTAACTTAGCGTAAAATTTATTTAGCCACATTTATACTCATCAACAAAGCTAAGCGTCGGGGGAGGTGGACAAAACGTTGGTAGCGCCAAGGGCCGTAGCCAAGTGCAGTGCGTAACCATGACAACCCTATGGGTGGCAGCCAGTCAAACGGAGCTCTTCAGTGCGTGTAGAGCGAACGGGCCCGTAAACAGGGTGGTCACGGGGCTAAAAACCCGTAAACCTTCCGGGTACTATCCCCCTTAAAAGAAAACGCCACATACCCTATATATGAATGGTAAAAGAACATTCCCGCTGACCCTTCCATGGGAACCTCCGAGCATGCAAGAAACGCGATCGTCCAAAACTAACCGGTAAGAGAAGTTGACACTGTCAGATACTATACACTAAATGGCCAGAGACAGTTGAATTGCCATGACTGTGGAGCAGCAACAGCTAGAGACTCAGGTGGAGTTCGTATATATAGTAGGTAAGCACTGCCTTTCCAACAACCCATCGCCTAGATCAAATGGCCAGGGACCCCATTACAGTTGGCGACCGTGGCTTTACTAATAGGGAAACTATGGCTCGAAAAATCTACTTGAATGCCAGCCGACGAAAAAGCCAGTTTGTCAAAGTAGCCGGTGACAATGGCCTTCAGTACCATCAACATGAAGAAATAGAAGCCGAGCACCGTCGCCTCCAAAAGACAAATACTGCATCGGTGCCCGAATTGCACAGAATATAGCGTCTCGTGTCTATGTGAATGAAACAACATTTGCGAACTGGATCAGTTTCAGAGGCCTTGATGTGTACTCGTACACAAGGGGGGGGGGGGGGGGGGAATTCGGAGTCAGTGGCAATATCTGAAATGCCCATATGCTGATCCGGGACAAAACTGGAGAAATTAGGAACAGTTAATCTCTGCTCACCTTAAAACCGACAAAAGTCAA